CAATAAGGATATGGACAAACACTTGATCTACTTCACCCAACTTCTACTTCTCCTGGGAAAATTCCACATTCACAAGAAAAAGTGGTCAAACTCCAAACCAAACATGACCCACTTCAGCAGAACTTCACTGATACAGCACCGCTGTTCAAGGACTGGAAAACAAAACAATGAAAACCATCTCAGTTCTAGAAAAACGTGTGAATTTATCTATATAACTGGTAAATAGATTGTTCGTATCTTTTTAGACTTTTTTACGTTGTGTACCATTGTATAATTATAATGTTCTTTTCTATACTTGTATACTATTACTTTTGTACCTGTTAATACACCCCTGGTAGACACTTGTTTGTTAAGTTGATAAAGTTTTGTAATAAAAAAAAAAAGGCAACGTATTTATGGATTTTTCCACTTTATTAGACATTAGTGATGGATCCGGCAATACCGATGTGTCGGCGCATGCGTCGAGCTCAGAGCAAAACCCGTGTCGGTCAAATTCATAAATTCGTCAAGAATTATGAAACAGCTTCAAACCAAAAGAAATATTTCTGTCGTGTGGGACCATTTTGATCTCATATCGGAAAATAAGCTACTTGTTTTAATTTCCGTGCTGGTTCATGTTCTTTGAGTTTCCACTTGATCTAACTGAATTCAAATTCATTTCAACGCCACTCTTGGTTTACCATTTATATTATTTTCTGCAGGTTAATGTTGCATTTGTTTGACAGAGCTTTCATAGTTAAATAAATCCGCCTCCTCAATGCTGAGGCATGATACTCATTGTGCGGCGGCTCGCCATGCTTTATGGTGGCTCTCGTGACAGGTTACAACAATACCCCATCACAGCCAGTACATTTTTAAAACGTGCTGGCTCATTACGCAATAATTGTGCATGTTGGCTCGGCTTCTATGATGCGGTTTCACGAATCATACTGCACAAAGACAAAATGAGAATGCACTATATAAAATTGTGTTAATCTACTTGTTGAGGAGGAGGCAGGTCTGACCGGTCGGTAGAGGTAAAAAATAAAATTTAAAAAGTCCTGTTAACTTCAGATGGATCAGCTGATCATTACCGGCCGCGCACGTCTGTGCACCTTCTGTCATCTGTCGTGAAGGAAGTAGCAGAAATACAGGGCCGGTTCTAGGCATGGTTACATGAGGGGGCATCTTCATCCATACACATATTACATCATATTCATTGTTGAGCATGGACTTGGGTATTCATTGTTATTGTTGACTTGTGTGTTTTTTATGGGATTGGAGTAATAAAAGCAGAAATTTTTACACCTGTGAGTCAACATTTTCAACCATGAACACTATCAAGCAAAAAGAGAGAAACCGACTGACCCATGCTCATCTTGAATGTCTCACTGTGGCTGCAACAACAAATTACAAATACAACATGAAGAAAGTCAAGGACATGCAGCACAGCTTCTCATCTCAGTACTAAGGTACATTTTGTTTAAACAGATAATGTGCTGGCTGTGTTTCTTTTTTGTTCATAGGTGCGTTGTTCTATTTTTTTTCTTTGAGTGACTTTGGGTGATATTGTGGCTCTCCCCTTGACTTTGATCTGTCAATATGTCTATTTTGGAAAAAAAATAAATAAATTAAAAAAAATATATATACATATATATATATATATATATATATATATATATATATATATATCATTGCATTATAGGGCCAGGCATGAGAATGAAGTGCCAGATACATCCAGGGTAAACTCAGGTATACAACCATTCTACAACTTACTCACAGTTGCTTTATTGATAATTAATTCCTACTGATTTATTCTTTATCTCATTTCTAGACATCAAGCTTCCAGGAAGCTGCTGGATGAGGCTCTGCTGAATTTCATCCTGAAGGACTGTCAGACAAACTTTTTTTTTAATTTTTGAATAAAAATTTGTTAAACAAAACAATCCCAGTCCACAAGCATCCTCATTCACAACATGTTCACTTATATTTTCACGTTATTTTTTTATTTTTATTTTTTTCATTTAGCCTTTATTTATCCAGGTTAGTCTCATTGAGCCACAAGAACTCATTTTCAAGAGAGACCTGTTTAGGGAGCACATGGTGGGGGTTAAGGGCCTTGCTCATGGGCCCAGAGTGGGGCGAATGAGGGTGGGGGCAAGTGTGGGTGTTTCACCTACCCCACCCACAATTTTGATGTTGTCGGGGCCGGGGCGTGAACCGGCGATCTTCGGATCACAGGCCCACCTCTCTAACCTCTGCGCCACCACTCCCCCGGTAATGGTTATGATACATGCTCACATTATTTATTGACTGTATCTAAAAAGATCAAAGATATTTTAAATTTAAATGAAAATATGAAATAATATAAAATACAATTACTTAAATTATATTATTGTATGCAGTAGGTCATCAAATCAGTGTCAGATGAGTCTGTCAAATAAGTTGCCTGTGAGGATGTTTAAGTTCCAGCAGGTGTCGGTATGCAGTGACACAGTATCGACACAGTTTGGCAATGTGTTGAAATGCTTCATGACGCCTTATCGACCCATCACTAGTAGACATATTTGAAATGATGCGACTTATAGGGCGGTGAGACGTGTACGGTGGAAAATACAGTAATGTGAGAAACTTATAAAATTGAAAGTGAAATTTAGTAAATAAAATAAAATAAAAATTAAGATTAGTAAAATTATTGTGGTAAAATTGAGTGTGGTTGAAGCTGAGAGTCACTCACAATGACTGACTCCATTTGCGATTCATTGTGTGAGATCTTTGCTTAAAACTTTGGCGTCAACTGTCTGTTAGCAAAATATCTCAAAGTATAGAATGGATTTTAATTAATCTTCCAAAAGCTATTCATTTGCTATGATGTGGTGGTATCAGACCTACAGTGGGGAGAACAAGTATTTGATACACTGTTGATTTTTCAGGTTTTCCCACTTGCAAAGCTTGTAGATGACTGTAATTTTTATCATAGGTACTCTTCAACTGTGAGTGATGGAATCTAAAACAAAAATCCAGAAAAATACAATGTATGATTTTTAAATAATTAATTTCCATTTTATTGTGTGAAATAAGTATTGGTGAGAAGGCAACAACAGTTGGTGCAATTATTAGAAAATGGAAGAAATACAAAATAACGGAAAATCTCCCTCGGTCTGGGGCGCCATGCAAGATCTCACCTCTTGGAGCATCATTGATCTTGAGGAAGGTGAGGAATGAGCCCAGAACTACACGGCAGGACCTGGTCAATGACCTGAATAGAGCTGGGGCCACAGTCTCAAAGAAAACAATCAGTAACACTCTATGCCGTCAAGGATTAAAATCCTGCAGTGCACGCAAGGTGCCCTTCCTCAAGCCAACGCATGTCAAAGCCCGTCTGAAGTTTGCAAATGACCATCTGAATGATCCAGAGGAGGAATGGGAGAAGGTCATGTGGTCTGATGAGACAAAAATAGAACTTTTTGGTTTAAACTCCACTCGTCATGTTTGGAGGAAGAAGAATGATGAGTACAACCCCAAGAACACCATCCCAACCGTGAAGCATGGTGGTGGAAACATCATTCTTTGGGGATGCTTTTCTGCAAAGGGGACAGGACGACTGCACCATATTGTGGGAAGGATGGATGGGGCCATGTATCGTGAGATTTTGGCCAACAACCTCCTTCCCTCAGTAAGAGCACTGAAGATGGGTCGTGACTGGGTCTTCCAGCATGATAACGACCCAAAACACACAGCCAGGGCAACTAAAGAGTGGCTCCGTAGGAAACATCTTAAGGTCCTGGAGTGGCCTAGCCAGTCTCCAGACCTGAATCCCATAGAAAATCTTTGGAGGGAGCTTAAAGTCCGTGTGGCCCAGCGACAGCCCCGAAACCTGAAGGCTCTGGAGGAGATCTGTATGGAGGAGTGGGCCAAAATCCCTGCTGCAGTGTGTGCAAACCTGATCAAGAACTACAGGAAACGTCTGATCTCTGTAATAGCAAACAAAGGTTTCTGTACCAAATATTAAGTTTCATTTTTCTGGTGTATCAAATACTTATTTCACACAATAAAATGGAAATTAATTATTTAAAAATCATACATTGTATTTTTCTGGATTTTTGTTTTAGATTCCATCACTCACAGTTGAAGAGTACCTATGATAAAAATTACAGTCATCTACAAGCTTTGCAAGTGGGAAAACCTGAAAAATCAACAGTGTATCAAATACTTGTTCTCCCCACTGTAAGTATCAGGTTGTTTTTATGAGTATGAGTACCTGGTATGGATCGGTATCGGTTTTGATACCGATCCATACCAGGTACTCGTACTCATAAAAACATCCCGATACTTTGGATTGATACCACTTTTATGCTTGGTGATGTCATTTCCTCCTCCACACTGTAAGTGACGGAGGACAAGAAATATTAAGACAACAGACTGTTTGCTGTGTTCTTAATTAAAACAAAGTGTTTCTAAAGTCATTGTCATGTTAAAATACAAATTAACTACTCTGTATCAGTACTCAGTATTGGCAAGTACCCAACATGACGTACTTGTACTCAGTCTGAAAAAAAACATATTGGGACACCCAAATTTGGAGTCAATCCAATTCAAGATGGCCACCACAGCTAATCAAAAGTAGCCAACATAAAAATGACAGCAACTCAGTCATTTTTACAGATATATATATATATGTATATATATATATATATATATATAAAAGTATTGTTGTGGTAGTAGCCGAGTCATTCCCAACACATACTCTGAGTGTGATTTCTCCCAATGCAAGCTTATTTTCAAGGCTTGACCAATCTGGGTACAACTCCTGTTCCCAACTAAGATGATGTTAGATTCAACTCTGGCATGAAGAGCAGTTGGTGACGAGTATTTCTCTGCAGCTTTGTGTCAAAATGAACCCACTTTTAAAACTGAGACCTCAGGGGTCATTTGGGCCCAAGGAAAGCAGGAGGATTGACCACTAAAGAAGGAGGACTCGATCAAATGTAAGGAGAACATGAAAGTGAAATGCCGCTGACCTGAGTTCTGCAGATCTCTCCAGGTCCGTGACATCAGAGAGAAGCTGTTGGCCAGAGGCTTCACCAGACCACCAAACGGAGGGTCAGCCACCATCACCACCTTCTCCCCATCCCCCTCCCTGAGGAAGGCATCCAAGACCGCACTGGAGGCCTGACAAGACACAAACCCCCATCATCCAGAGCCAGAACCAGAAAGCTTTACTCTACATTCAACAGAACACTCACCTGTCCATCAAAGAAGTAATGGTTGAACATGTTGTAGTGACAGAACTCTTCTTGACTGTAGAACTGGGCATACCTGAAAAAACACACAGATCAGATTTATGTGCTTTGAACAGCACTGTCTGAGGAGCGGGCCCAGAAAACAAGTTTTGACTTATCTAATATTAACACACACGAACTTCTCAAGCTGTGTACCCATATGTCTGCAGGCTGCAGCTTGTAAAACAAAAACACGCCATCTTGGCACACATCCCAGTGTTTCCCCTACATTTTTTGCCTTGGCAGGGCGCTTATCTCTTCTGTGATTTTTGTCGACGGGGACACGTTGTGTTGCACACACTGTTTGTACTAACACTTTGTATTAACAGTTTGTATTAACAGTTTTGTACTAACAGTTTGACCCAACAAGAGTGGAGATGGCTCAGCGTGAGACAAAAAGAGCGGTACCTCTGTAGCATCTGTATTGTGCATTGCTAGCTTAGCACTACGTCAGTGTCGGCAGTTGTTAACCGGGGGGGGGGGGGGGGGGGCAGTTTGGTTCAGTAGGCAGGGCGCTCAGTTCTGTTGACATGGCGGGGCGCCTTGCTTGTAGAATGATAGGGAAAAACACTGCATGCTTAAAGAAAAAACAAAAGGGATGTCACGTAGAGAGCTCAGGTAAGACAATATTATTTAAAAACAAATTAAAATGCTAAAATTATGATTTGGAGTGTGGCTTCTCTGCAGCATGAAATGAGCTTTAAAGAGATCGTCACACAGAGGATAACATCAGCCAATGCCAAGGGATTAAAAAAAAAAAGTCAAACACCCGTTTTTGAGTGGCATCAGTTATGTGCAAGTTCTGAATAAGTTACCAGCAGGATGACATACAAAAGCATTAGCTGTCTTACACCAGTGTTAGCCATGTCAGTGTATGCCGATGAGCTGATGATAAGTTATGTATAAGTTTCCGGTACACAACAGGTAAGTTAAGCACAAGTTCACATGCTACATGCAAGTTACTCTGAAGTTGACATACATTGTTAACCAGCTAGTCAAATGCATAGCTTATGAGAAACTTATTTCTAATAGATCTGTAATTTATGTTAGACGTGTTCTCAACGTGGCAGCACGGTGGTGCAACTGGTAGAGCTGCTGCATCTAAGCGCACAGGTTACCCTGGTTCAAATCCCGGTCCGTGGGCCTTTCCGGGTGGAGTTTGCATGTTCTCTCTGTGCATGTGTGGATTTTCTCCAGGTACTCCAGTTTCCTCCCACAGATCAAAAACATGCATGTTAGGCTGATTGGTAACTCTAAATTGTTCCTAGGTGTGAGTGAGAATGGTTGTTTGTTTGTTTCGTTTGTCTCTATGTGGTCCTGTGATGGACTTGCGACCTGTCCAGGGTGTACCCCGCCCCTCGCACAGTGATTATTGGACATGGGCACCGGCGACCCCCGTGACCCAAAATGGAAGAAGAGGGTAAAGATAATGGATGGATGGATGGTGTTCTCAACGTTTAATGACATATGCAGATGAGGTGAAGGGGATGAGAATGAAGTTTGAGTGTGTCAATCATGGCTCCTTGATGCGGTTTTCTAGATCACAGATTTGTTTGAGGTGTGTAGATCAATGCAGAATTACTGACAGGAGGTGCAGAGAGCTGCCTTTATAAATCTAATGTCACCTGATAGCCACAATCCGCTCCAACATGCTCTGCATTAAGTTCAACATAAATTACACTAATGTTGATCATAAGCTCTGCATAAATAAAAAACTCTGCCACACCCCGGTGCTGCTTCCTTTCAATGCCTACCTGTTTGTTTTAAAACAGATTTGAACGTTCACACAGGTGATCGGGTCTTTAGTTACCATACTGTAGTATGTCAGGACAGCTTTGCTGTGGACACACTACCAATTAATTATTCTTAAAGCTAGTTCAAGCACAAAGAATATTGATTGTTTAATTACAACGGATTCTTTTCTTTTTCGAGTTAAATTTCTGTTATGTGGCCAAGATAACTTGTGAGTGGAGTGTTTAATCAGTGACATGAGACGCCATTTTATCTTTGACCCATCAGAATAAATGCGGTCATTTATTTAACAGAATCAAAATTTAACATCAAAACATGTACACATTGATTTGCTGATCTGTTTCTGATTAATAAACTTGGCAAGTTAAAATAACAAGACAACAGAACATTACTGATTGAGACTGATTCATCTCTGAAGGCAACTAGCTTGATTTACTGGCCAATAGAAAAGTTTAAGAGAGGAGGAATAGATTTAAGGAGTAAGTTTAGATTTAAGGATGAAAGTTATGTGTTGAACCATAACATGGCACCCTTCCTCCGACATCCAGCTCAGCCCTCCGGTACACTTCAGGACGTGCAGCAACTTTGTTACCTTAGCAGAGGATGCATCCACTCCGGAACAGAAGTCCATTGGTACGCTCCCTTTTCAGCGTCTTTGGTTAGAGTAGGTGGGGGTCATCAGAAATCGTGACGAAGTACTTGGTTCAACCGAATAAGCTTCCTTAGGAGTTGAGCTTTTAATGCTCGGGTTGAGTCACAGCCGAGGCAGGCTGTGACTACGCTGGACTGGAGAGACCCTTGGCACATGGTCAAATCCATCCACTACTTAGCTGAGTCTCATCTTCGACTGAAAGTTCCAGCAAGACTGGAAGGTCTAAGACTCGTGAAGACTTCGGAGAAGACGGACTAAAGACTTAATAGTTCCAAGAAGTGTTGCCTTTTAAAGGGGTATCCACTTCCTGTTACATGGTACTTCCTGATTGGTTGAAACAACCAGCAGGGGTGTAGTTCTAGTGATGTCAGAGGGTCACTAGAAGTCAAGAGACAGCAGGAATGTTTTTAAAAACGGTTAGTACAGACAGAGAAATATTATGAAGAGGTGAGACAAAGCAGGTGCCAGCAGCTCTTATTTACTGTCTGAGAGTTTTAAAACTCTCGGACTTTCGACCGACATCAGGTCCACTACCCTCATTCAGACAGAAGACTAAATGCACACTTACTTCGTAAATAGGCATTTAACTGTATGATCAAAGTCTAATGATGTTTAAAAATCATTAATACTGTTTCACAGTTGATTTAAATGAGTGGTTCACTTCAACATTTAGAAATGGTATGAACTAAATACACTTTTGATTATCAAGATATCTTAAAATAGTACTGATAATGTAAAAAGAAGAGTGTTCTTTCAATTGATTAATTCAGGATACAATTAAATATTCTCTTGATGAGATCATTTGTATTTCTGGATTCAAATCAATGAAATAGCAGTTCCTGTCCCCTGAAGGTCTTCAGAGACAGATTGATGTCGGAGGCCTAGTTCACTACAATACCATACCATACCATTTTATTTATAGATCACTTTAAAACAGCGACAGGGCCAACCAAAGTGCTGTACAAACAGAAGCAAACAGGCAAAGCACACAGCAACATATAACATAACGTAAAATCTAAATATAGAAACAAAATAATAATAAATAGCAGATAATAACATAATGACTAACACAGTGTGATACATAGAGGTTCAGCACAGATCATACAGTGTTGAAAGCCAGGGAATAGTAGTGGGTTTTTAAGCGGAATTTAAAAACTGTGAGGGAGGGGGCCTGCCTGACAAGCAGAAGTAGCTCATTCCATAGTCTTGGGCCTGCGGCAAAGAAGGCCCTGTCACCTCTGTGCTTAAGACAGGTTCCTGGAATTGTGAGACGGAACTGGTCCGCTGACCTCAGAGAACGCGGTAGGACATATGGCTGCAGCAGATCAGTGAGATAGGAGGGGGCAGAACTGTTCAGTGATTTAAAGATATACAAGAGTATTTTTAACTGGATTTGAAGGTGAACCGGTAGCCAGTGCAGTGAGGCCAAAACTGGTGAAATGTGCTCTCTTTTGCCTGTACTGGTTAAAAATTGGGCTGCCACATTCTGGACCAGTTGTAGTCTAGCAATGGAGGTCTGACCGATACCAAACAGGAGCGAATTGCAGTAATCGAGCCTAGATGTTATGAATGCGTGTATTACTGTCTCCAGGTTATTTTTGGACAATATGGTGTAGGGTAACATATATCTGATATATATTATCCATAAATTAAACGGATTCATTCATTTTTCTGGACTGAATAATATCGTGCATTGAATTTAATAAATGTAACGTGAGACGTTAATTTTCTTTGACCCATCAAATGAATGCGGTCATTTATTAACAGAATCAAAGTTTAACCTCAAACATTTACATTGATTTGGCAAATTGATTTCAACACAACATAAT